TTTGTTCTGATGTGCAGCATGAATTGAGGGACCTAGGTGTGTGTCTGCTATGTTCAATCAATTCAGTTTGTTACAGGTGGACTACAGTCTAGTTCTAGACTCATCTCAAGGATAATTAAAGCAAACAGGAAGCAACTGACCACAGTTTGGAGCTACAGCAAAGGATCTGAGTACTATTGTAAGATATATGTAAAAGATGTTTTCACTCTGTCATTATGACACACACACCTCTGTAATGGATCACACACCTCTTCTATTATGGTGCAGCTCTAGGGCCTCACTCCTCACATCTTTTAAATGGACCAATACTTCTTTTGGAAAGCCCCGTCATTTAGCAACAGCCCAGGTGTAGAAAAGTAATGAAGGGTGGAGAAAAAAGACAGCATGAATTACAAGTGATGAAATTATTTTCCAGTTAGTCCCCAGGCCATGAAAGCTGGTGCCTCGTCAGAGAGCAAAAACCTGCAGGGCTGCATGCCACACTAAGCTTTTCCTCCAACACGTTGTGGAAACAGGGTGTGAGTGATGTTGTGAAATTTGGGAGAAAACGTGTTCTCTTGTTATTACTGGCTGAAACACAGTCTAAAGGCCGATGCTGAATGTTATTATAGAAAATGTGCCAACATCTCTGATTGTTCACAGGCACAGTTTCATCCTCCTTCTAACAAAAGCACTATAGGACTTACTGAAACCTTACTAAGGTTAAGCACTACTGCACCAACAGTTGCTCTCTGTTTTGTAGGAAATGTATCACCACAATACCATCTGCCATAAAACACACAAAACAGCACATGCAGTGTAATTACTTTCCATACCACCATTATTTATAGAAAATAAAAGAAGGAAATAAAATGACATACTTTAATATATTGACTGAGTTTCTGCAATATATATTTTAATTAAAACATTTGCCCGATATCTCAGTGGGTGAGCTCAATGAGGTCTTCCTCAATGCATTTTTCCCCTGAAACTCGAAAAAGAATTACCCTTTTTGCTTTGTTGTTGTAATTTAGAATAATACACAATGTTTTACTTGTGTAATGGAAACTGTAATGACAAGTATATTTTTTCAGATGGAATTTTTTAATTAAGTCACTGTCTCCACTAACAGCAAAAAGTGTTTTTTCTTTTTGTTTTTTGTTTTAAATAGCTCAGGTGGCAATCAAGTCTATATGTAGGAGCTTCCCATGAACACACCCATGAGTAATAATTAAACTCAGTAGTTAAATCTTGCAACAATTACTTTATTGTGACACTAACATAACACTGATTAGCTGATGGATTGTCTGTCTCAAGATATTTTCAATATTCTGCAAGTACATTTTTGCCGACACGACTGACACCAACAGCTGGTGGGTAGAAAGGTAGATAATGAAGGTGAAATGGTACAGTGTACTGTGCAAGTGATAGGTAGTAAGAATAACTATAACTGTGTAGTTACTGCTATAATAGTTGCATGGTCTTGTAAAAGTGGCCAAAAAACTACAGATGATGCTTTTTGAATTCATCCTTAGGTGCAGTGATGAGCATTTCATTTGTAGTGCATTTTTATTCATATTTGTGATTGAGGTTTTTTATGGGCTTTGTCCTGAAAAAACAATCTAACCAAAAGGTCCATTTAGTTGCTCTTAAGCAGCTTTTAGTCATATCTCATGACCTACATCAGCAGATGGAGCCTAATCAGCCCAATTTCAGATATTTAATCTTGTTTGTATTAAATCTTTGTCCCTGTCCTGTGTTGACATGACAAAACCAGATTCCACATAATTTTCATAATGTAGTTTACATCTTCTACTTCTTACCTACCTGATTTTACCTCTTTTTCTGTAGTAGCATCATTAGTAGGTGTATTAGATGTGTGGGCAGTGTTCACTAACCACTAGGCACCAGCAGTGGATCTCATCAAGCCTCCAGGTTTCCTGCAGTACAGAAACCTGCAGCTTTCACTGTGCAACATGACACCTGAATAGACCTCTTAAACAGTGAGTGTTTGCCCTGCAGTATGTCTGCCTCACAGTTAGATTACAATTAGTGTCAGCATTCCATTCACTCACCTTTGCCCTGAGCTTTGTTTCTGTGTTTCTCAGTTTAGCCTCCCCTCGGGTTTATCTGAGCCTGTGCAGAAAGCTGAGTGTGACCACAGTAGTGAATCTTTAAAATTCTGTTCACAAGCTTTATGATTATATGTTTCTAGTATCAGGCATAGGGTTTATTACATTAATATGACGAAACTGCTTGCACTTTCAAAAACGGCATATTCTCTGTTTGCAGTGTGTGGTTGTCCTAGTACCAGCCCATTTTTATTTTCCATGGAAGGAGAGAAAAATCTTCAAAACACAGTCACTTACTGACTATGAGGTCCCAGAATTGATTTTATACCTTCCTTGATATGCAGTATGTCAGCTGCCAAGTTGAATATTAAAAACAACACCTCTAAAGTAAACCAGTGAGTTGGCTTCATCTGAAGGCAGTGGCAGTGCTGGCAGTGTTGGGTGACCTGAAATCAACTGAATGAAGCGTGACTGTTATTTAACCACCACACTGCATGGGTCAACGCTAGGCTGTTATGGATTGTTTTGGCCAGTCCAACCAAACTTGGCACACAGGCTGAAATCAGAGATAAAGTAAATTGGAAACTGTGTTAGTCACAGTCCAGGGGTCAACACTGCAGCACCTTTTTTTGGGCTGTGAAATGAAGGCATTTGTTGTGATCAATACAACACATGTAGTTTTGGATATATTTGTAATATTATTCATTAATTATCAATATATATGTATAGCGCACAGCACACATTTGATAACTGAGATGTTCATGCAGGTGCATAAATTCCTCATTACAAAGATGAATGCACATTCGAGTTCAGTGGAGCAGAAAGCAGAGGCTAGATAGTGATGCGCAAGAAAGTTAGTTTTTTGTTATTGTTTTGTTTGTTTTTTCCAGCAGTGTTTTATTTCAAGCTACTGTGAGCTTTTATTATGAAAAGTTATGAAAGTTCCAAAGGTTCTGCTGCTTGCTTGACAAATCTCTGACGGAGCGGACATACAATGTGCGATAATTAGAAAATAACACCAGTTCAGTGAATCAGTCTAACATATAATATGTGACTGTGGGTGGAAGATCTTATGATCCACAATCTACTTCGGTTGAATCGTACAGATCGTTTCTATATTTAGATATTTAATTCTAAAAGTTCAGTTTCTGCTTACCAGACCATGTTAACTGTTAAACAGCTAGCCTGCTAACTGCAGCTGGATACAGCAGTCCTTGTTCTGCTCAGCAGCCTCAGTGAGTTTGGTGTAGCTCCTCATGAACCAGTTCTCCACCTGAGCAGAACTAGTCACCAGCTGCAGTCCAAGACGGTGGAGTTCAGGATCTGCCTGAAGGACAAGAGAACTGCCTGCAGGCAGGACAACCTGAGGCGGGACATGCCAGGGCTAGCTAGTCTGCAGCAACTGAACTTTCAAATTAAAACACTTACATACAGCACCACATCAATAAATAACTGTGCTCATACATAGAAAAAAAGTGTGATTGGTTGAGACATAGTTTGTAAACAGAGGACCGCATTGTGGGTGAAGAGAAGCAGCAGGCAGACAAACATCCAACAGAAGCGGAAAAAAATCAGAGCAGACACAGAATGCAGATGGATATGGATTACGATTCTACCCAAAAAGATTGTCATATGATCTTTTTACCACTTTTGTGCCACATATGTGAACAGCAATAAAGTCAATTCCAGTTGCATTTTCATCAATCAGTTTCTTAAAGTAGATTATTGATTTAATTTGATCATGGTTTGGCCCGCCATGTAATGGATTAGAAAAAAGTTTGCCCGAGACCAAACTTACTTGCCGACCACTGTCTCAGAGGGAGGAGTCACTGATTGATCACAGATCAATACAAAGTTGTTCTGAGTGATCACTTTTATCCTGTGATGAAACATTTTCTGTCCTAATGGGGGGGGTCTCTTTAGGATGACAGTGCCTCCATCCACAGCTCACAGGGGTCACTGGTGGTCTGATGAAGATGAAGATGATGTAAATTATATGCTATGACTGTAAAGTCACCTCATCTTAGTCCATTTGAACTATTGGAGATTTTGGAGCAATTTGTTAGACATCGCCACATGAGGGAATATGTTTATGAAGTGTGGTATTTATCATCCAGTAGAGTTCAGAGACTCAACACCTGAGTAACACACTGTATGTGTGTGTGTGTGTGTGTCCATGTGTGTATAAGGTCAGCCTACCACAATGTGTCAGTGTAATAAACAGAGTAAAAAACAGAGCAGACTAGTTACACATCACGAGGGATCTGAGTGCAGTGGAACAAAAAAAAAGCTTGATAAAATTGTGTTATCACTTTGTGTTAGGCTTGGCTGTTGACTGATAAACCTATCCATCCACACAGACGACTACTTGTCACATACTCTGTGTGTGGCTATTTTTAGAAAAGTGTGACCATCCGCAGTCTCCCCAGCCGCTTCCTTGTTCCTTGAGTGAAAGGTGGCTCTGTCAAGGAAATATGAATCAAGTCAGTTCAAAACAGTTTCTACCATGAAATTCTTAGTTTGCTTTAGTCACTGACAGATGCCAAAAAAAATGTTTGAGACAATGACAAAAGAAATAGGAAACCCCAAAATATTTTTGTTTTTGTTTTTTTTGGGCAGAAAGGTGCAAATATATTTCAGCTTTTACTGTAGGACATAGAACTGTGGGTTTGACAGACTTCTACTAAAGATCGTAAACGTATGAAAGTTAAGCCAGTCAATATAAATACAACTAGCCCAAGTTGATGGTTTGGTAGATATCGAAAAACTACTTTGAGAGAATAGCAGGGCAGGTTTGTTTTGTTGATCAAGTTCTCAGGAAAGCAAAGGGGGAGGAGGAGGAAGTGGGTTGGAGGTGTGGCCAGTTTCAGGTGGAATTCCCCTTAACTCACCTGAGTCCGTCCTCTACTCCTTTACAGGAATATAAAGCTCCACAGGTGGAAGAAAAGATCACTGATACTTGAACAGGGGAAATTTCACAACACATACTCACACTGCGGACTGTCTTGGAGCATCACTCCTCTGCATCATACTGTGGCTTGTGCTCAGGTAAAGCTCATTAAGTAACTATTTACCTGAATGTTAGAGTGGTTGTGTGTTACATTACAAAGCTGGATGTGTTTATTAGCTATAAGTTCCTTTCAAATTAAATGCAGCTGGGGGGCTATTTGTTTGTTTATATTTGAACTGTTGTGTAAACAAGTATCCTCTTTTATGTTTGTCAGTGTCTCCATGTCATCACCGTGCCTCAGCAGCGTCCTGACTCATGCCAACCTCACCATGTATCAAACTGGCATCCCCGATGTCCTGCTGCAGCAGCCCAGGGTGCTGCCCAGCATTAATACTCTGCAGATCAGCAGTCCTGCATACAACACCAATATCAACAGTAAGAGGACCACTCATTTCTGTCTGTCATTGTTGTAAGTAAATGTGTGCTCTGTAACACCAAGAGAAATTCAAATGATTTCATCCCTGGGCTGTGAAGGCTAGTTAACCATTATAGTCTAGCCTGAGTTTCGTGGGCAGTTTCAGCTCAGACTAATCCCACAGTAAACACAATCCTTCATTTTCAAACTTCAGCCAATAAGACCATTAGCTCACTGAACTTTGCTTTGGCCTAGATGGTGTTGGCTTAATCATTCACCAGGCAGCTAATGTTTAACTCATCATAACTGTCAAACAGAAGAATGCTGCCACCTCATAGTTAAAACAGCTCAGGCTTTGTTTGTGTGACCTGAAAGACACAAATCCAGAGTGATATCAGTCACCATTACACATACACATAGACGTGGAAATTTAAGAAACAAGTGTTGACATGTTGTATGGCTTGGAAGACGTAATAGTTTTCATATGAAAATTTACCATTTCTAAATCTGTGTCTCATCATTTATAGCTTCCTAAATCTTTCTCTGCAGGTCAGTGGTACAGGCAGATCAGCCCTCACAGCTGGACAGCAGACAACGTCCTGGAGTGGATAAGCGACCACACAGAGAGGACCAAGTTCGATGCGAGCACCCTGAGTCTGGCGTACTGTGCTATGGATGGACCCGCCCTCTGCCAGATGAACTGTGACCAGATGATAGGGATCTTCGGCCCACAGCTCGGCCCACATCTCCACCAGAGTTTGCAGGAACATAAGACCAAATATGGTAAAACTACATCTGTCATGTGGCATAATAAATTTTCAGAGCTGAAATACATCCATACATAGATCTTGTTATTTAATTAATAAAGGTTTTAGTAACTATGTCAATGATGAAAAAGTGACTGTACGCCAATATTCACAAAGCACACCAAAATAAAAGTGGCCTGTATTAGGATTGCCAGTTATATGTTAATAAAAACAAATATTTGACCTGTGTTCGCAGAAGCTAGCAATATAGTTCCATACATGCTTTGCTTTTCTCTTGGATGAATGAAGTTTGTGGACTACATTTCATCTCATTTTCATCTCCTTTTTTCTTCCCAGAGCTACAGAGCCTGTCAGGCCCAGAGCTCAATGAGACCTGCCACCTCCTGGACAAGTTCCTGGGCAACCTAGACTTCCCTTTGCTCAGCACTATTAGAATTGGCCAAGGTACATATTGTATAGAGGTGTTAGATAACAGCATAAACTGGATACTGTGTGGAAATGATGTGACTAATACTGCTACTTACTACCAGCAGCTGAAGGAGACGTCAATAAGAAGGAATTTGACTACAGTGATGATTATGATCTGACCAGTCTGACCATGGAGCCCATGACACCTCTTGGAGACACTGGGTACCTGTCTGATAATCAGTCTGACAGCGAGTACAGCTCCTCCTCAAACAGTCAGTATTTAACATGTTTTCATGTTTACCTCTTCTACCTTTCAGTTTTTCATACGTATCTGAAACATATCTCTTATGTGTGCAGGTGGCATGTTTGGCTTCTCAAGCCTCAGCTCACCAGAATCTGGCAGTGGTGAATCAGACCCAGAGTTCTCCTACCCTCTGATTTCAAGTGAGTAAGCAGAAAAACTCATTGTTTGTAAGGGTTAGGGTAATTCCACAGCCTCAGCAGTGTCAATGAGTTTAAGTAAACACCTGATAATTAACTGTTGTGTTGACAGAGGCCCACATCAAAACTGAGAAAGGAGAGTCTCGACTTAAGCGTCCACGGGGGCGACCTCCTAAAGTGAGCAGAGAGCATGGCAGTAGCATTTATGACAATCCAAAGAAAAACAAACACGGTGAGGCCATGTCTGGAGAACCAGCACACTGTATTGTGCATCATGTAAAACACTGTTCAAAAGGCATCTGTACTCCAGCACTGCTGATCTTTTTTACTGATTCTACTTTGCATCCATTTTGCATCTTTATCAGGCTGCAGATGTACATGCTGTTTGACTTGCATGCTTATGTTTATACATCCATGCACACACAAACACACATTTAGCTGATTGTGCCCCACTGTTTGTCTGTAGCACCTCGTGGCACTCACCTATGGGAGTTCATAAGAGACATTTTGATCCACCCAGAGAGGAACCAGGGCCTGATGAAATGGGAGGATCGCCGCGAGGGTGTCTTTAAGTTCCTCAAGTCCGAGGCTGTGGCTCAGATGTGGGGTCAGAAGAAGAAGAACAGCAGCATGACATATGAGAAACTCAGCCGTGCCATGAGGTGAGTTCATGTAGCAGCTAAGAATTTCATCTGATGCACCATTTATAGAGAAGTGGTTTAGAAGTTACAGGCATATGGTTAAACATAGTTAAACATTAACACAAACCAGTAAACTGGGTTGTTTATAAACATGATGTTCCAACATAGACAACCATCTCAGACAATATAGCTCCACCTTGTATAACTAATTTAAAGGGCCACTCTGTTGATCCGGTCTTGGATTTCCAGGCATGTTCTTAGGATGTGTCAACCTCCAAAATGGTGGTTCCTGTATTTCTCAGGACACAACTTGACCTTGCTTTTCATCAGACCCTCCTGCCTGATGAACACATCCCCACTTTTTTACACAGTGTTTTTTATTTAAGTCTTCTAGCCAAGTTAAACCTGATGATGCCATAGCGATGTAATCAGGGTTAACTTAACTCATTTGGTTTACAAAGCTCCTCCAGAGTCACAGAAGACATTACACAACTGTTCTGACAGGCAGAGTAATACTTGCTATGACTGTTTAAGTGTGGCATGTAAAAGTGTTCAAGTGTCCTTTTAACCCTGGTCTGGTCCCCAGTGAAGGAACATTATAACATTTTCATCTATTAACAAGTGTCTTTGTGTCTTAAACCTGGACTAACCAACCCTCCTCCACCCTCAGGTATTACTACAAGAGGGAGATCCTGGAGCGTGTCGACGGCCGTAGGCTCGTATACAAATTTGGAAAGAACTCCAGCGGCTGGAAGATTGAGGAGATTGGCATGGGCATGTGAGGCATCAGTAACAGAGTGGGTAGAAACCAAAAAGCCAGTCAGGGTGGGAGTTGAGAAACTAGAAATGACCTTTGTGGCCTGTCTGGAAAGAAACCATGCTGCCCTAGATGTTTAAGACACTAACTTCCTCTCAGAAGGAAGGTGTTGCAGAAAATGTAAGCCAGTGTTTTTGGCTCTAGTAGGTTTTATGAACCAATATTATTGTTGTACCATTTTTGTGCTTTTGCTTGCCAAACATTACTATGTGCACAGTAACTATAATGTACATCATTCTGGATGCTTGCGAGTTTCTGTGAGAACCTAAAGGCTGAAAAGCAAACTTTTACAGTTGTACAGAATTCTGCAGTTTGTTTTGAAGTTTCTTTACTTAGCAGAACTAACTCATCCTCATCTGTCACTATGGAGTTTGTTTTGGTATATGGGCTTTAATGACTTTATTGTTGCACTGGAAATATTATAGACTTTTTTCTAACTTTTATATTACTGTCTTGTTATTCTAAATGGGTGAAAGTTTCATCCTCACTTAAATTTTATACTGGTAAATTCAATGTGAAGGACAAAGACAGAACAGAGAGGAAAAATGTAGGTGATGTTACTTCACATTAATACAGTAACAATGTGCACTACATGTCTATTGGTATCACTTATAAAGTGTATAAAGTGTGTTTACGCAATGTTTGAGTGAAAAGTAATTCATATATATATTCATCATCTGTACAAACAGTGATCATCATTAGTCACAAGTCGGTTGCATGATGTTTGTGTGATTGTTTTAATGTGATTCATCCAGTTTGGACTCATAAATGTTTATATATGTGGAGTAACTATCATATCGTAGATGATATTTGTTGATACATGTTGTTTTGGAGAATAAATTCATTTTACATACATATTAACTTCCTGTTTCAGGATTGATTTTTTAAAAGCTGTACACTGGAATCTTACTGGTGTATGTGTAACCATCCTGAAGGGTGGAAGATTTGAAAATGCAGTGTAATTGTGTGTTGAAGTCACAGTTAGACAATTATTACCCCCCTCTTGTCTGCAGTGCTCCTCCAAAGCTAAACTCTTCATTTTTCGAGGGCAATGTCAAATTACAAGAGGTTACAGAAAATTCTTTGCCTTTATTGGACTGAAAAAACTAGAAACAGAAAACATGGAAGGGAACTGACCTGGAGATGTTGCACCTGCTCCAGTGGTGACACAACCTTGAACACTATCCATAACCACTAAAATCATGCTTCAGCTATCATGAGCTGATATTTTAGGAAAGCAAATAAAATACAGTGAATCAATGACTTTTTTACAGATGTCTTATATATGAAAATTATTTTGAAACAAATCTCTTCCTCATTTCTCTTATCACTCAGCTGTTTACTCGCCCTCTGAGTTTCTGTCTATTCCCATAGCTTTTGTTGTACTGTTTATTTTTGCACAAAGGTTTCTCTTTGAAGAGCAGAAACATGACACTGTTCATTCTCTGTCCATTTTCTAAGATAGAATGGCACTTGTTGCTAATAAAATTTGGGTTCCTTCTCACATGAGCCTTCTAATCCTCACATATGAAATTCAGTAAAGAGAGAGAAGATGCTTGTTATACTTTTTCATTTTATTCAGGCGTTTGCTTTTCATTTGAACAAATCTATTTTTTTTTTTTGGATGGACTGCAACGTTACAAATGTCCCTGAGTGACTTGGTGGCTGACTGACTGACTAGTTGACTGACTGACTGACTGACTGACTGAGTCACTGACTGACTGTGTGACTGACTGACTGGCTGGCTGACTGAGTGACTGACTAGCTGACTGAGTGACTCACTGGCTGACTGAGTCACTGACTGACTAGCTAACTGACTGACTTGGTGGCTGACTGAGTCGCTGACTGACTAGCTAACTGACTGACTTGGTGGCTGACTGAGCGACTGGCTGACTGAGTCACTGACTGACTGGCTGAATGTGTGACTGACTGGCTGACTGAGTGACTGGCTGGCTGACTGAGTGACTGACTAACTGAACAAGTGACTGACCAGCTGACTGGTTGACTGACTGACTGACTTCGTGGCTGACTGACCGACTTAGTGGCTGACTGACTGACTGGCTGAATGTGTGACTGTGACTCGTATAGTATTATTTTGTTGTATGTGTTCTTTTTGTGTTTTGACAGGTGGTGTGATCGTTATGTATGCAAATGTATGTGTCAGGACCAGACGGTGATGGGGTGCCGCATGGTGGCAGATGATTGGCTCCTGTTCTGGCCACCAGGATTTAAAGAGCATGATGGGGCGACTGAGCAGGTAAGGGGAGAACCACTTCTTTCACCAGTCACAGCCACACTTTTTTCTTTCTTAACACATTTTCTCCTGTTTTTGTTAGATAGGGAGCTTAGTTGATGTATTTCAGTTTTGGTTATCTGTAGGCAAGTTATGTTTTGTTTTCAGGTAGACTTATTTTGTTTGTTATTTTGGCCTATGTCCACCCTGAAGATATAATTTACTAATTTCTGTAAATAAAGACTCCCATTGATAAATTGAGTAATTCGTTTTTGTGGCTACTTGGGACTCGGGGAAGAAGTGGTATTCTCAGTATGACTGACCGACTGGTTGACTGACTGAGTGGCTGGCTGTTTGATCATATTTCCACCACTGGTCAGCCGAGTGGCTTGTCATTGAGTTGGAGTTTCCGGCACAAAAAGGTTCTGTTAGGCGGGTGTTTTCAGCTGCTATAGACACTTATTTTCAACAGACTGGGTATAAATCTGGTACATGACCAGACTGTCTATGGATGCCAACTGAGGGCTTATGGCTACACCTCTTGTTACAGGCAGTCACCCAGCCATTCTGGTCTCCCGGCCGCTTGGGAATTGCAGGGAATCTGAGGAGCAATACTCTTACTGCAGCACAGAAATAAAAGCCCTGTTAAGAAATAAAGGGTTTCTGTCAACTGAAATGCAGCCTTTTAATTTGAAACAATTACAGGACGTGTTTTTATTAACATGTTTACAGTAACTTTAACACAACAGATGTGAGTGTCTAAAATCAAGGCTTCGTACTACAGTACCGCTCTGACCAATCCTACATATCAACCCAAACAGAGGGAGTTAGACATAAAGACCTGCCTCTAATAAAAGTCTGTTACCTTCTGAAGGTGAGGTAAATAAAGGCCTCACCCACTTTTTGAGGAAATACAGTAGTTGAAAACTGTTGTGGATCCCAGACAAAGTGACAAAGTAAGAATGATAGACATGTAAAGATGTAAATGAGAACAACTTTATGATGGATTCATCTGTATTGAAATACTGTATATGTGAGCAGAGAGAGGAGGAGAGAAGCAAACAGATAAAGAGCTAAAACTGTCAAACTTTCACGCATTGACCATTAGCGGTCCAACCATATACTAGGTTTTCAACTGGTCTTGCTTAATCCTAAATTCATTAGTATCCATGTGCGATGTGACTGTGGTGTGAATAACATAGGTAGTCTAGTCAGAACAGTAAGGTTACAGGACTGAACAGGCATGAGAACTAAATAACTGAAGTGGACAGATATCACACTGTGGGCAACAGATCATAATAATAATGATCAACTTTATTATAAATCTAGACAGATTGTTGTTGTGAACTGACTTTAATAACTGCACTGCAAATGAAAGCACAGAAAAGAAAGAAGCAAGCAATGATACTTTTACAGTCCCAAAACAGGGCCTCATACTGATGTATACTGAGCACTCACAAGTGTGCAGCCATAAAAACCAGTAAGACCTGTTTACTGGAGTGGTAAAATGCTAGTGTTACACAACGTTGCACAAGTCACCTTTAACTGGTACAATTGGTACCTGCACCTGATGGTATTATGCAACCAACACTTTTAACACTTTCAAATGAACCATATAATATGTGTCACTTCTGTATGAAAGTCAATATGCATGAGTAAAAGCAGACAGTGAGTGCTGATAGACTGTGCAGGTGCACTGTGTGTGTGTGTGTGTGTGTGTGTGTGTGTGTGTGTGTGTGTACAATGACATTATGACAGCATCATTTCTAAATGGTCTTTGACAGCTTTGTGATAGTAGACACACTATCAATCCATCATTGTTAGATTTCTAGCAGCAGAACTGAGCTTTGTGGTTTACGCGACTGTCTGCTTCTTCCAGCTGACACTAGCAGATGGTGGTTTCTGGTTTCAGCTTGGTGTACAACAGGTCTGGCCTGTTGGAGATGACGGATGATAACATCTAGATGATGACTCTGTGGTATAAGAACTTCCTTTAGTGCCAAAGACTGCCACCATTCAGTGTCATCTCCAGTGAATTATATCTATATCTGATGGTTCTGGAGCAATGCAGGAACTAGTGTGATGCACATACCTTGCATGAAATAGTAGGAATGTGGAGGATATGGGTGGTGGCTAGAGTGTGTGCAGTAGAAATGTGAAATTCATTTGTGTGCCCTCATGAAAGTGACGGTGCTCAAATCATGGTGAGCACTTTGCTCAATAACATGTTAACAAACATATTAAACTATCAAACTAATGGCTTGACCACTTGGTTAATTACAATGACATCTGCATCTCTGCCTTGGTCTACCTGCACCAGCATACTTCACTGCTTCAACCTAGAAGTTTGCTCCTAATTTCAACTGCGAGGGAAAGAGGCCTTCCTTGTCCATGGTTCCCTGATTTTTTCCTCTGACATGGGGCCGAAAATAAACAGGACGGTGATTCTTATTCACAGTCTAGTTGCTGTTGAGCTGCTTCAGCAGCAGAAATCAGTTCTCAAAGGCCGAATTGGTCTTTCAAGTCCTTTCTGCAACTATTTACAAACTCAACTTTCCAAAGGATCAACAACATCCCAAAAGATGTACAGGTCAAAAAGTTCCAAACATGCCACCATTCTGAAATGACCATCTCCTTGGTCTTGGAGGTGTTCAGAAGGAGGCAGTTTTTGTTGCTCCTTTCACTGAAGGCCATCGTCAGCTCCCTGTACTCCTTTTCCTGCCCGTGCACTTGAACCAAAGGAAAAACTGATTAGATGGTGGTCAAAAGTCAAAGGTCAAGGTCATGTTGACCTCAGAAAACACTTTTTAGCCACACAACAATTATGACAGAATTTAACACAAATGGTTGTTGGGACTCATTCAAGAGACCAGATGTTTCTTTGCTCCACAGACAAAGGAACTCACTTCCCCACAGTTCCTCACTGTTCACACCTGGGAACGACCCTCCCCCAGGGACCTCACTGACCAGTCAGTGTTGGTCAGTGTGTGACATGTGACCCCCCCCCAGAGTGTCACCAAACAAAACCAGATCTCCTACTCTGTTCATTCTCTTCTCTCCTCTCTTCTCAGCGTGCTCTGGAGAGCAGCTGCTGCTCTCTCCTCTCGGCTCTTCAAAGGGCAACAAGGCCCCAGCCCAGGTCAGCCCTGCTACCTGAGAACCAGCTCTCTCGCCGGCCTGCTCCCAGCAGACTGCAACACACTTCTCCTCATCAGCAGTGACCCCACACACTAGGTGGTCTCAGTGGCCAGTTTGTGTAGTTTCTTTGTTTACCGCCATCTTGTGTAGTCTTCTTTGTTCAAGTCATGTGGTCACAGAAACCACTTTGAATCGGCCATCTTGCCTTTGTCTGTGTCCCCACAGACACACCCCCATACACACATACACACAGACACACACACACATACACACACCACACACACACACACACACACACACACACACACACACACACACACACATATACACACACCTGTATATACTAGATTAGACATTGTGTTTTTACTCTGTTCCATTGTAAATAAATGTCTTTAAGTATAACTACTGGTGCATTTAATGTTGCACAAGTGTGACTATTGCCAACCTCTACTCAGTTGAATTCCAATCCTTCAACTTTAACTTACTGTTG